TCCTCACCCGAGGACATTCTCCCATTTTTTGTTGAGATAGAGTGGGAGGAGAGAGAGGAAGAGAGAGAGAGAGAAACATCGATGTGAAGGGACACATCGAGTGGCTGCCACCCTCATGACCAACCAGGGCCGGGGACAAACTGCAACCGAGGCACGTGTCCTTAGCGGGAACCGAACCCGGGTCTCTCTGTACCGCAGGCCGACGCTCCAACTGCTGAGCCAAACCGGCCAGGGCCACACAAATCTTTTATTTATTTATTTATTTTTGGCAATTTCTTTGTGAGAGAGACTCTACAATCTGCCATCTATACCTTACTCATGCCTGATATGATTGCTTTAAATTATAATAAATATAAAATTATAAAATAATTCTGTCTGTTACACTGATGCCATTTCAGATTCATTATATTTTATCTGCTTAATTTGATCTTTTTAGAAATGATGCAATGCATGTTGGATACAAATGAGATGTTAAGGGAGTTTATCAATGTGTCCAAAGAATAATCCAAGAAAACAACAGGCCAAGACTCTGCTGGTGGATGCAGTAAGCTGAAAGATGGAGTTAGGATAGGACTTCTTTTATCTCCTGACCCTTAAGTTTTATCTCATAGAACACAAGCAGACACGTAGTAGGTGCTCAATGAATGTGTTGAATAAATACTTATTGAAAGAAGCCACGGGAGGCAAAGTCTGCATCTATGAGTACTGAAAACAAGCTGGGGCAGGTGGGGGTATGAATACTGGAGCACCACCCCCTTGTCTGGCAAGCAGGGCAAGAATAAGTCCATTCTTGGCACATGCCACTTGATTTAGCCTGTTGCTGGAATAACTTTGAGAGAAACCAGCACTTTACCCTCTGCCAGGCAGAAGGTCAGCCCAAGAGTGAGCTGACTTGTAGACATAACACTATTTCTCACTCAGGAGGCGGAGCCCACTGTAAGCTCTGCTATATTATTTTGCTGAGGATGACAGGTGGGAAAATCTGGGCACCAGTTGTTCTTTTCCACTGGTATTGTTTGGAGGGTAGCTCCAAAGTCGGGCACGCCGACCTACGTGCCTCTCCTGTTGGCAAAAGGTCCACATTGAAGCTATTAGAATGTGGGCTCTGTACACTGGCCAAATCCATGTCTCAGAGACTGTACCCAGAGCACATAGCCATCCCGGGGCTACTGAATTAAGCAAGAGAGCCATTCTCTCATTCAATCCATCATTGTCTAGGCAGAGAGGTTCTAAGTCTTGATAGGCAGCATTTGATTTTATGCTATGTAACTTTTAAAAAATGAAAGCAAATTAGAATTAATTTAACTTTGAGAAAAATGACAGAAGCTCCTACAAGCCAGACATAGATATTCCAGACTGCTATAAAGTTGGAATCTCAAGTGATGTAAATTTTCTTCATTTTCTATTTTCCTCTTTGTGAGCACGTCATTTGGCACTCTGCACATACTCACCTATGCACACCCCAACTAACACAATGTTCAGACAACTTGACTTAACATCCCTCTTTTCTTAAGCATTATGTTTATTCCTTCTTTAACACAACAGTATTGAATCATTCAATTTGAACACTTAAGGCAAAAATCCCAATGTTGCAAGAATCTTACCTTCATGTTTTTGTTTTATCTTTATTGTTGAGAGTATTACGTATGTTCCTCTTTTTTCCCCATTGACCCCCTCCATCTGGTTCCCACCCCACATTTCAGAAGTCAACATAAAAACTGAACAAAAAGTATCATGCTTTGTGAATTTGTTGAAATGAAAAATCTATTATTAGTGGTGAAGCAACATTTCCTCTGTCATTCTTTTATAATTTATTACTAATTCTGAGTTGACCTTATCATTTTTAAAGAGAAAGTAATATAATACAGTTACATTTTGTGTGACATTAACTAACTTTATCAGTATAAACTTCATAATTTTGCTTACAGAAGTATTTTTTTTTCACCTTTCAGGAAAAATTTAACTGTGCTTGCAATTCAGGATGCTGCTACTAAGTGGCAGTAGTGCACAAGAACTATAAGAAAAGACTAGCATGTTTTCCCATATTTATAAGAAATAAAAATATAATACTATTAAAAAATACTGACACAGACTTTAAACATCCATCAACTTAATTACTCTTTTAAACCTAGCTTTTAAAAGAGAAACTACTGTTTTCTAAATAAAATTTTGAATAGGCATACATTCACAAGTTCAAAAATCTAAAAATTAATGCAGTGAAAAGTTTTTCTCCCATGCCTGTCTTCCAACCTCTACAGGTAACTAACTGTATAGTTTCTTGAGTATCCTTCCAGAGCTTCTCTGTTCAAATACACATAGTCGCAAATATATATTATTATTCCTCCTTGATTTAACAACACAAATCTGTAGAGTTTCTGTATTTTTAAAAATGTAGGTGCATAGTATTCCACTGTATGAATGTTGTATAATATATTTAACCAGCTTCCTACTGAATATGTTGTGCTATATTTTATGCTATGGCAACTAATGATACAGTGAATAACCATATGCTTGCGTGATCTCTCATGTAGGATAATTCTCTGAATTGGAATTGCTGGGTTTAAGTTATATACATTTGAAATTTTAATAGATATTGACAAATTGGCCTCTACAAAATTTGTATAAATTTATATTGTACTGTTTTCAAAATGGGTCTCTTTCCCATAGCCTTGCTAACAGGGTGCATAATCAGACTTTTGAATCTTTGTAAATCTGATTGGTTGGACAAAGCAAAGTACTTTAATTTTCATTTTCTTTGGATGAGTGAGCTTACCAATTTTTTATATTTATGGACTATTTATATTCCTTATATGTTCCTTTCTGTGGAGAAAATGCAAATTCCAACAAATACAATTATTCATACATTTATGTAGAGTTTTGATTTTAATGTTGTTGCTTGTTGTCTTACTATCATTCTATACATGTTTTTCTTTCATTTGCTTTGCTCATTGACCATATCTCCTGGCCATGGCTCTGAAGAAAAAGTGCTGGAAGTGGAGAGGGAACAGCAGGACTAGAATGTCTGCTTTCCCCTTTATCCCTTTGCCTTTGCCTCCTGGGGGAAATATCTGTAAACTCAAGTGGTGAAAGGAGAAATCTAGTAAATTTGCTTTCTAAGACTAATTAAGGCTTCAAAGAGACAGATAACCACATGGGATAATATAGTCATATTGAAACTCAGGAAATGGTCAGTGTTATTGCAGCCTATGAAGGAAACCCCCCTCCCAAAAGCACTGGCTCTTTGAACTAAAGTCTTGGTGAGTTTCAGTGTAATCATGCAAGGAAAACCTAGAGTATTCAGGTGAAAAGAAAAGAAAAAGTGTTCTTCTGTATTCTTTGCTGATTTGGAGCTTTAGTCTCAGGCTTGATCAATTTTAATGAGATGTTTCCATTAGCATGCACATAAAGGAAAATGGTACAAAGTTGTATGAAAAGATGGTATCTTCAACTTTAGGATTATCTTCTGCATATAAAGATGGTAGTAACTGAACCCATAAGTATTAGGTAGTGACATTTTAGAGCAAAAGGGAACTTCATTTGCCATTGTTTCTAACTCCCCTACTCTACAGGTGAGAAAATTGAGGCTAGAGCAGTTTAAATGAGCTGTGCAGGGTCACCCAGGTAATTAATGGCAGTATGAGAGTCCAGGTGGATCCCCTCCTTACTGATCTTTGCCCTTCCTTTAATTTATAAAACTTCCCTGAAACATACATGCTGAGATTTTGCCATTGCCAGGGATGCTGTGTTCTGAAATAGCCCTATGTCACACATAATTTTCTGCTTGGGATCCCCTGCCCCACATTTACATGACAGCTAACTGAGGCTAAATAGGTCTGGGGCCACTCTATTGGAGCAAAACTAATTGACTTATATGAGCTCAAACTTCTAATCTTGATCTTATCAATACTTTGCCCTATTAATTCAGACCATTTGTGAGTAGGAAGTTTAAAAAATATTGTACTATGAACAAAAATCAATCTTTTATCTAAAATACATTTGAAAGTTTTTCAGAAGCATTGATTATCATGTTCCTTTTGTTTTGTATGTAATGTTAGATTTCCCCCTATTTTCCTAAATGTTTGAAAATATTTCTTATACTCGTTGTCTTCTTTGTGATAAAAAGGATCAATGTTGGCCATACATTGAAAATTAGTGAGGTGATTTGGGGACATCTCTGGACCCCAGCCCTTTGTCTAAGAGGTATATGGTTAAAAGAAGAAAGCAGATATCAGGAAAACCAGTATAGCATGATCCCATTTTAATGGTAATTTTCCGCTCCAATGACCACTTACTTTTTCAAATTATGCCATGTGCTCAGGCAACAAAGATTGCAGAAATGCGTGACTGTGTTGGCAAATACACGTATTATCTTAACCACACTGGAGACCATTTAGCATAATATGTATCTCAGATGCAGTTTGCCATTGATGCTGGGTGGCATGGGGCTTAAAACAAAAACAGGATGGGCCCAGAGCACAGAAGTGGAAAACTAGTGGGTGGGTGGGTATTGACTTGGATGTGGAAAATGAATTTTCTTCCCATGGGACATGGCCTGTGTTAATTAGTGCTGACCTTTCTCCTCTCTGACGTTGATACCAAAGCTTACTGAGAAACTGAATAGACCCCCCCAAGCCAGGAATAAGGATGAGACCACCCAATTCAGTTATGCTGTGGCCAGAACCACATGTTTAATCTTTACTACTCAAACTATTCTTGCTTGTAGGATATGGACTCCAGCAATTAAAGTCAACATATGCTTCCATTAAACCACTATTTCCACTTTCAAATGGTTATAAATATGTAGCATAAGCTATGGAGGGGGTATGGAATGGATGGCAGTTTATGCTAATTGCACTCTAGAAACCAATATTCTCTATTTGAAATGGCATGGAAAAATTCTACTTAATACCTCCTGGGTTTCATTCGGGTTTTTTTGTTTTGTTTTGTTTTGTTTTTTCAGTAAATGTTTCTGGGGAAAATAATTTTTGTTTTCATTCCAGCTGTGCAGCAGATACAGTGATGATGGATTGCAAGTGCAAAGAGTAAGACAAAACTCTGGCATACAAAGGACAATGACAACCAGAAAACTTCAGCTAAATCCTGCCCTTTTCTTGGAGGGAACTATATCTTAGGAGGTGAAGGCATTTTTTATTTTTAGTCCTCTGCCTCCCTCTGCTGTTCCCCTTGAGAAGTTCTTTCTTACAACAATGAGAAATCATGTACTAGCTGCATCCTTTTCTATGCTCTCCCTGCTGGCGCTAATGGGAGATACAGACAGCAAAATGGACAGCTCCTTCATGATGGACTCGGACCCTCAACGTTGCATGAGGCACCACTATGTCGATTCTATCAGTCATCCACTGTACAAGTGTAGTTCAAAGGTAAGAGCAAAATCTCTGTGACGGTAGCATTGCTTCTAGAAAAAGGAGAGAAGCCATATTCCTTTGTCAGGGGATGAAGAACTATGATGATAGCACAAATGTGAACTATATGGCTGGCCCACAGGGCTTGTCGGAGAAACATGCTTTTAGGTTTTTTCACCATGCTTTGCACTTTTGTCAGTAAAGATGCCTAATTAAGCATGTGTAAACACTGCCAGGTTCTATCTTTTCAGGCTGCTCAAAGTCAATAAGAAAGACTGGAAGGTTCTCACAATAAAATTGTTGCTAAACTAAAGATAGAAAGGGTGTTGTGACATCCTTGGTTGTGAAATTTATGAGTGGTAGTGTGTCTTTTTTTAAGAAAATAAAAGAAGTCTACAAGTTATTGTAACACCTTCTATCTCCAACAGTAACAAAGAAAAAGGGAATGCAAGAAATATGGTTGAGCAGTGAAATGTACTTCTTGAGAGGCTCTGCAATAAGTTTCCTGATGAACTAGTTGGTCATTGGCCTTGTGGTCCAAGACTTTCTTTACCTTCTATGCTTATGTTTAAAATTATTTCAAAATATAAATGGCAATTTGATCAATTTTCATTGATTATTCAAATCACTCTTGTTTGGAGTGGATTTTTTTTTTTTTGCACAGGCAACCTATACAACTGATGTCTCAGTGTTGAGACAAATTGATAAGAAATATTATGCTTCAAAAATCACCAAGAGTGACCAACCACATAGACTTCCTCATACGGAGGCACATAAGAAAGAACAGACTTAGAATGAGAATTTTTATAACTGTCACTGCCCCAGTCACATAAATGAATTTTGCCCACATTTGGTAAATAAGAATTTGTTTAGGCCAATCTCAGAGATTTTCACTTTTAGTCCTGAGACTAAAACCACTTAAGCATTCTCATATGGCAAGTATCTTTTAATTACTAGTATAATTAAGAAGTTTTTGTAATATCAACCACTAGAATTCAGACCATATAAGTACATCTCTCTACCTTCCATCTAAAAGCATTACAACTCTGTCTGCCTTTAATATTTCCATAACTTGTCTAATGATAACTTGCTCAATGATGATGGCTTGTTTTAGTTTGAGGGGAACATAATTTTAGTTAAATCATTTAACCATTATATTAGTAAGATCTATGATTGTGAGAAAAAATGGACCTAAAGAGAAAGATTGTAACAAATAAAAGTTGTGTTACTAAACAGCACAAAAGATATTTGTCCTGAAGTTCTGCTTGTACCTAAGAAAAACTTTCTGTGTCTTATTTGTACTTGTAGAGCTAGAGAGAGAGAGAGAGAGAGAGAGAGAGAGAGAGAGAGAGAGAGAACTTAAAATTTTAAAAGACCACAAGACCACAATTCCTTCTTAGGAAATAAAACTAAAACAAATTGAAAAAAACAGGATGTGTTTTTACAACTGTGATTGCTCATAAATTGACTGGAACAATTATTACCTTCTCCACCCCCCACCCCTATATAGCATTAGCTAGGATTTAGTGTTTCTAATGCCATGGATGATTTATCCTTCTGTTGAGTTGTCCTCCATAATCACGATTCTTAAAAAAAAAAAAAAAAAAGAAAAGAAAAGAAAGAAAGAAAGGAAAATTATTTCAAAGAAAGTGTCAAAGTGATAATAGGAAGGGACAAAGAAACAAAAATGAAAGAACAATCTGGAAATATTTGGCAAAATGATGGAGGAGTGCCTTAGCAATTATCACATTAATTAAGGGAAGGTCAAAGAAGAGATATCATTAACTCGAATCCAACAAACTCACAGGACTTGAGCATGAGTCCTAGAAATGAATTTTAGTCTACCTTTGTTCACCTCTGTTTCTTCCAGAACACTATGGGAAATAGGGCAAAATTGTAATAGTAAGAGAAATGTTTGTAATTTCATGGGAACAATCTGTTTTCAAACTCCCAAACTATCTCAAATATAGCAATAGTTTTATGTAAATGGTGCTTGTAATTAGAAACCTTTCTTTGGCCAAAAAAATATGCCTGGCAGAATCTCAAATACCCAGACCTTTCCTGGATTAGATTTTCTTTGTGTATCTAAGAACAAAACTATTTTTTTCATTTTGAATTATTCTATAATTCTTAACTTTCACAGACTCAGGCTGATCTTCTCTCTAATGGGTCTCATTTAACAAAACTGTGTTTCTAGACTTGGGATGAAGCATTTAGCTTCTCTCTGGAAAATAGCCAACAGGGGTTTTTTTGAAAGAGGAGACTATGGTAGATTTTTCCTCTCTGCAACATTTTTCCTCAACATGATGTTCAAAGGCCATTATTTATTAAACATGTGCCTACTGTTTGCATTTCAATTGTTAACACTTCCTGACTTACATTTATCCAATGTCTGCCCTTAGGAAGACAGATGAAGAGGAGCTTGTGACCCAGGCTTAGGGAAGGGAGGATACCTGCTTGAAACAGCTAATGTGCATCAGGCACCACATACTATATAATCTAATCATTGCTGACAAACCTGTGATGAAAAGCATTACTATTCCCATTTTACTGACAAGGAAGATTGAAACCTGAACAAAGTATTACATAGATTGCTCAATGTTATATAGCCCAGGAGGGGCAATGCCTGTCTTGGAACATTCATCTAATGACTTGGCTTCATATTGGAAGAATGCAAGTAGAATGCAGGAGCCAATATTTAGAAATCCAGGCTTAACTTCTGATCTGTTGGAAATAATGATTTATACTCAGCAATCTTTCTAGAATTACAACTAGTAGTGAAAGTTTTTCAGGGAGCCTTCCATGAAACTGCCTGTTCCCCTAGTCCTAAACTTGAAGCTGGCCAGCCCCAGGGCCCTGTTGCCCATCTCCTAGCAATTCAGGAAAGAGCTAAGATGGATTTAGTCAGAAAAGGCTGGCTACGCTGGTCCACCAAAGATGTCAGTGTGGCCACAGATTATGTTGTGCCTGGTGGCATTTAGTGGTGACACCTGCTAGGATTGGGTACAAAAACTCTTGGAGTGGCAGCTTCATTTACAATCTTCCCTGAAATTCTAAGTAAGTAAAGGCTATTGAATAAACAAGCAAAAATGCAGTAGTTAGTGGAACAAGCTGTCTAGGGCATCTTTAAGGGAAAGGAGGCGTCTCATACTTTTAAGTGATAGAGATTTGGTTTCAATTTCCAGCTCCACAGTTTGCTAACTAGGGGAAATGAAGTAATTACTTGCTCAGTTTCTTTGTAAAATGGAGCTATTGCTATCTACCTAAAGGTATAGGTATGAGTATTGGTGATAATATTTGTAAAGCATACAGCACAGTGTCTGGCATATAATAGATATTAATGAATGATATTATGATCTTGATGATGAAGTTCTAAACTGGACAGGTGTTTAGACTCACTTTTCTATTTCAGTCACTACTATGATCTCAATAACTGTTGGGATCTCCTATAGACTTAAAGGATTAGGAAAATAAACCTCCTTGTGGTTCATGTTAAACACAGAAAGTTGGCAATGGTGGGGGGATCGTGAAGAAGACCAAAGTAAATGTAAGCCACTGTGCTGGGTGCTAAAAGAAGAGATAAAAGTAAAATAGAAACAAATCCTTCTGTTTGACCTTCCTTCCCAGGTGAGTGGAGGAAAGAAGGACTGGAGGGGGTCTACTTCTGGATTCAGGTCAGGGAGAGGTTTTCAGGAACTGAGACTGAGAAAACTCTGAAGTTTGAGTTGGGTGAGGAGTGGGAAATGGCAGCCCCAGGCCAGGGGTGTGGAATCATGACATAAGGTTGTCTGAATTTTGAAGAACCACAGGAGCTGCAACAAAAGAGAAGGAGAAGGAGGGTTCAGGGCACAAATCCTGAAAAAATTCCCAGAGTAAAAGGGACCTGGCATGCCAAGGACTGAGCCTTGTGGTTGAGAGGTAGCATTTAGGATCCCCAACCTGTTTCATACTGGTGCCCCTGAAACTCATAGAGTGTGGTAGAAGAGATGAAAGAGTCAAGAATATTGAGTTTACAACACAATTAACTACTGGGGAGATATGGACCTATTTTTAAAAACAGGAACAAATGTATACTGAATGCCTATTATGTGCAGGAATTATGGTAGATACTAGAGGCAGAAAAATAGAAAAAAAGACAAAGTTTTAACTCTCATAATATTTACAAGTAAATGGGGGAGAGAGGAAAGGGAAGTGTTCTATGTGCAAAGTCTTATTCATGTTCGATTGAGTTGCGACCAGAGTGAAGGGAACAGATTCTAGTTGGAGTTGGCAGAGTTCCCACCCAACCTATCAAAGCTCTTACCATCACCACCTCCCCCCATACACACTGTTTCATTCCCCTAGTTGCAATTTTGCTGATGCCCTCAGCCTGGCACAGACACTTTAAAGGTCAATCTAGATCCCTGGAGATGAATTGAACAGTCATTTGTTGAAGGTGTTGGTGTGGGAAGGTTTAGGAGAAACATGGGCAAATCTTATTTCTGAGGAGAAAGGGTGTGCTTCAAGGGGTGCCATGGAATAAGTGGTATATAGTGTTCACTGCTGAGAAAAAGGCAAAATATGTTTCACACTCAGTTGGGGTAAAATAGCCAAAAACTTATTCTAGGATAGGACAGGTACATCTTTATTCTGGTACTGATGGAGAATCTAGTCAGTCATGGCCTGAGCCAGGAATTCATGGAGATTTCACATGACAGAAGAGGAAAATGACTTTGGTGATGGTAAATGCCTTTCAACAAAGGATGATGAAAACCATCTGTGTTTGGGTTTTCTCTCATTCAGAAGGTAGTTGTGTAATGCAGAAAAGACATAACTAAGAACTATGGTAGTTCACCAGAGAGGTCAGAGGTCTGAGGTCTCCAGTGCATTCTTTGGTCTGGACCCAGGAATCACAGCAAGCTATATAACCCTCATAATGTAGCTTGAACTTGCCATGACCAACTGGAACACTTTACAAAAACTAAGGGTTTGATAGGATGACTGTCATGCACTGTGGTTACAAGATAAGATTCAGGAAT